AAAGATTACGGATGATTTCACCTGTCGCCAGTGCGGAGCACTGACTGACCAGCCTGCTGTGCGGCAAACAGCTCATCAACTCGGCATCGTGGACCACGTATGGAATTTATTAGATTATCATACATCCCATTCTTTTATTTTGAAAAAAAAAAGTTTTTTTTTTGTGACCGTTATTCAGTTACCGTTTGCTATATTTTAGCCAAAGGACGAGACTTTAGCGTTCTGCTCCATGTATTGCTATTATAATTATATGGCAAATTCGAAAGCTGTTCTTTCACCCGAGGATCTCGTGGTTTGTTTTTCGCGCCATTTTTTAAAGCACTCACTTTGATTCTCACGCAGTATTTCTTGTCTGGCCTGCAGTAATATTGGTATTATCTCACTTTTTCAATGAATCTCTTGAATTTTAGAGAGCAGAGCGATTTGTTGATGCCGAAACTTTAGCAAAGCTGCGGCAAGCGAGCGCCGAAAACTTTGCGAGGTGTCTTCATCTCGGAAAAGTGAGATTTCTTGAAATGGATTCGTAGGATTTTGTAGCGCTAAAGCACTGTAGCAGGCAGCAAAAGCGCATATTGCGACGAAATGTGTGCGTGCGTGTGTGTGTGTGTTGTGTGTGTATGTATGTATTCGTCTGTCCGGGCATTTCTACTCAACAACAACGCAACTTTTGATGCTGAAGTTTTGCCCGTGTGTCCCCTAGCCAAATGCGACTCCAGGAACGTGATGTCAGCTGTCATGCACGGCTGCATCTAATGTACGGGCGGGAAAATCACTAACTCGAGAAAGAGGACGGCTGGAAAGCCGAAATTTTAAGGGAATGTCTAAAACATTTTAAGTCCAGTTCTTAGAATCGTTCTGGTTTTATGTTTGAGCACGGTAAAAGTTCTGGCGGGAAAACTACTAACTGGAGAAAACGAGAAAGCTGGAAAAATGAAATTTTGAAAGAATGTTTCCTAGCTGTGTACGACCAAAAAAACTCAAATCCTTAGAATCGTCTGGGTCTCACGAAAGTTTTGGCGGGAAATTGCTATTCTGAGGGAATAGGAAGGCTGGAATTTTGTGGGAATGTTCCTTACTGACCTACTGTTGAATGGTTTCAAATTCAGCTCCTTAAAACCGTCCGGGTCTTGCATATGGAAAAGTGAAAGTTTTGGTGGGGAAACACGGGACAGTGCAAAAACGCATGATCGCATCGGCCCACCTAG